AAACGCTTAGCGTGAGCACCACCGCATCTCCGCCGCAGGCGCTAGTGCCAAGAGGTTCCTCTCCGCCCCCCATGTCACACGCCCTTCTGAGCGTCACGGCAACACCCTCGCCTGCCACCGCCGCTGTACAGAGAGCGGACAGAACCCTCGGCCTGGACACTACCAGTCAGAAGGACATAAAGGCCATTGAAAACGGCAAAATGCGTAATGACAGTGAGGAAGTGTCGTCTTGATGAAGCTCATTCCCTCACTGCTTGTGCTTCAGGTGGCTGAAAGTGGCGGTTTTTACTTAAGGATTTCCCTTTTGGTGTTATTCACTCTCATCCATCCTGCAGCGGATCCTTTGCTAATCCGCCTTCTTTTCGCTCCCCGCCTCGCGTCTCCTCGGCGGCGCTCGGACGGGCCGTGAGTCCTGCGGGCGGTGGGGAAGGAAGACGTCGCTCAAAGGACCCGAGTGAAGGCTAGAGAGACGAATTAATCATACGCTCATTCACTCACCGTGAGGAGAATGAGGAACTACCGAATTATATGTGCTTCGAGCAATTCTCCGAAGCTTCACAACTCATGTTTTCAAGTCAGATTTCAGTGAATGGCGTCGGTTTGTTAGTGAATGTTAAGAGAACATTGAAAAATGTATGCCTCTCTGTATGATCATGCTATTCGTCCATGTACGCGTGTTCGAGGAGGTAAAAGTGACTCTGGAGTAGCAGGATCATTACATATATCCCGCTGTTTTAAGTCGAAATGTTTCTGTCGGACGGGAAACCAACCATTCTCCCAAGTGCTCAAACGCAACACTCCAGGGCACTTGTGTTCATGTGCAATTATTTGTATTAAATTCATGTAACAAAAGATATAGTTGTTTCCAGATTTTTACTTATTTATTTATATTTATGACGATTATTTAATGTTATACAGATCGTCTCTTTTTGTGTAATTCAAACACATTCTCTTATTTGTGCCATATGATTGGAAGACAACACTGAAAAATCGAGAGAGAGAGAGTGAGTGAGCAAGTGAGTGAGTGAGTGAGTGCACTTTATGAAAAAGAGAGTGCAAAAAAAGAAACCCCAGAGAAGAAACTGAAGTGTATGTTAGAGGCTACAGACCGCGTAATGAGTGAATTCCAAATAGCACTGGTAGGGGTCTTTGTCGTGTTAAATTTAAACTCACAGAAGGATATGGGCAAATAAGTGGGTATATTGTTACCAAAGAACGGCTCGCGTCATTTCGCGCCTAAGGAGAAAAGGGATATTTGAGGGAACGTTGCCTTGGTCTGGAGACCAGGGCGAGGAGGAGCGCCCTCAGGGGGCAGCGAGAACATCCAAGCAGCGCTCTAGCAATAGGTGGGTTGTTAGGCTGAGGAGTTCACAGGGAGTTCTCGAACAAAACGAAGATAGATGAACAAATTCGTGACATAACTTAATGAGTAATTGTGGGTTACGAAAAAATATAATATAATATTGATAATCAATAAGTACAAGTTTTTAAACTCAAAAAATAAGTAACATTGCTGTTATTAACATTTCGCACTTTTTATGACTTTTTTCTGGGATTTACATTCCCATATAGATTTACTACATTGCCTTCCATAATGAATTTGCATATAGCATACGGAAAGCTCTCACTTGAAAGAAAGAAAAGCAATCTGTGAAGAGGAAGACTTTGTTCTCGTTTACACGAGCATTAGGTCACACTTGCGTTCATCTTACCGATCGTGGAAGCGGGGGCTCAGAGGGGGACCTCCGTGTCGACAACGGAGTGGTGGGGGGGAGGGGGATACGTGCCTGGAACCAAAAGAAAAAACGCCACTGATATGTTTAATCTATTATGTGTCGCTTGAATAAAAGAAATCCTTATGTTATACTTGTTCATTTATAAGGGTATTATCTGTATCTCCCATTGGAGCGTCACCGTCAGAGACATCTCACGCTGACTGGCTCTCAGCAAGGTGTGACGTCAGGCCTATGTATATATCGGGTTACCAGTCAAGAGTCAGGATGGCCATGACGTCATAATCATGATGAGGCTGAGGCGACAGATGCCAGGAAGTGTTTCTGTTGGAATGTATGTTGTCCGTAAGGTTGTTCTTTAAGTTGTTTATGGATGGTAAAATCGCTTCTAGTCTACGAGTATGTTTTCAGAATTTTATACGAAATCAACTCAGTTTGATTTTAATCATGAGTATATTATAAGGTTTACACAACGGATAATGCGGCGTATATGACTCATCAGCAAGCACTGTATCTCGATGTACTGAGTTACAATAGCCGAAGTAAGAAGAAATATATATTTTGAGGATAGATTAAAATCAAGAAACAATCACAGCTATCTTTACATATGAACAAAAGACAAAAGCATTCATGGAGACATTGTAAAGTGATTTATGTGTGAATAGCTTTTATCCCAACAGAGTGCAGGCAGTTAGGGAAAGGTGGTCGACGGCCGGTCGCTGCGTCTGATGTTTGTACACCATTAATGACAGTTGGTATTAATAAAA